GGGTCACACTTCATCTGTGTGCACAGGAGCAGCGTGGGCAGCATGCAGAGTTGTGCCCCTCGCTGCTGCCCCCACCTGCAGGGGACATGTGGCCAGGGCAGTGGGGAGCTTGGAGCGGCAGGCAGCTTTCTGCGCCCCCTGCTGTGCCGGGTTTCACACGCTGCTCTGCAGAAGAAGCAGCAAGGGCACAGCACAGCGGGAAGCATCACCAGTATCTGCTGCCTCCCAGGAGCCCAGGGCTGGACCTGGGGCTGGAAGGCAGCTGGGGCTGGGGCTGGGGCTGGGGCTGGGGCCAGGGCCAGGGCCAGGGCAGGGACCAGGACTTTGCAGCAGTGACAGCATGGTCCAAAGCCAGGTTAGAGCTGCAATGCTCTGCCTGCTCGCCCCACCGGAGCAGAGCTACGATCTCCTGCCTGCAAGTCCCTGCCTGGGGCATGCAGACAGCAGATTGCAGCTATGTCCTGGCTCCGGCCCACGCTGTCACAGCCACGAGATCCCAGCCCCGGCCCTGGAGCATCTCCTTGCTCAGCCAGGTGCCCCGCCAGCACTGCTTTATCCAGTCTCCATGGAAACCCTCTCTGTGCACTGTCACAGCCCCACTACTCCTGGGTTCTCCATGGAAACTGGCTGCAATGACGGGGGCAAGCCCTGCAGGGAAATGGATTCCCCTATGGCCACACTTTGTCCACCCATGGTCCAACAGGTCAATAACCCAGGGTTATATTCATTTCTAATACCTTCTACTGATATGCTTATCTGCATGTAACACACACTAGACAAACTCATTACATCACATTAACCTTTTTATACTGATTTATATTGTTATTAAAATGTATACACAAGGAGATGTTCATTAATTCAAAGTGTAATAAAAATTATATATTTTCTGAGATGCAGCTGATGGGTCCATTTAAAAAAAAATTAAAAATATACATTTTTTAACATTCAAACATTGTTTTCCATAAAACACACGCACAAGTTGTAAACAGAGAGATGTTACACTGTTACTATCATGAGGGAAAGTGTCTTACACCTTGACAAACTTTGGAAACTTCCAATTTTAATTCATTAGTGCTACAGTGACCGTTCTTCTTGATGCTGATGTTAATAAGTATGTAGTTCTGTGGGAAAAAGGAAACCCTCAGAGACAGGAGAAACAGTCTAATCTCAAAGAATATTTTATCATTCCTTTTAATGTTAATGTACTTTTCTCTTTAATGGATTAATAATGGTAGACTTGGAAGAAGTGTTGAAGCTTTAACTTTTTTTCTAATGAAATCTATTCAATCCTTTTCAGTATACATCTGCTTTGACCTATGATGCTGTCCAAGTAATGACTGAAGCTTTCCGTAATCTACGTAAACAGAGAATTGAGATCTCCAGAAGAGGAAATGCTGGAGACTGCCTTGCAAATCCAGCAGTGCCCTGGGGTCATGGTGTAGAAATAGAAAGGGCATTAAAGCAGGTAGACTCTCTAGATTGTATTATGGAATTAATGAATATATGAAATGCTCTGTGAATGTTTTGAAATAATATTTCTGCTCCAAACTGGATTTTGTTGGTAGAAAGTTAGAAGACCAACATTAATAGGCTTTGCTAACACCTCAAGAAAACTACTCAGTAATGAAATGAGGAATTTAGGAAAAGTTTAACTGCAGACTATTTTAGCATTAATATCCAGGTATGGAAATACAAAATGTAAAGTGTGTGTGTGTGTGTGTGTGTGTGTGTGTGTGTGTGTGTGTGT